TTGTTGAAGTCTCTGAATTTTTCTTAGGTATTACAAAAGTGAATCTTGTTAATATTTTATCTAAATTATTCATTGGGAACAAGTATTCTAAAGAGAAATCATCAGAGGTTAGATTGGGAATATATATTTCATAAGCTGCTTTTCATTCAAAGTAACTATGTAAAATTCACCATGAATTTTAATAAGCTTACTACATAGCCTCTTCCTGCTAATTCAGTTCTTGCTTTAATTTGAATCTCCTGTATCATTTCAGAAAAACCTCTGGAATCAAATTAATTGTAACTAAAATAACATAATTTTCTCATGCTAATAGTGATCAGCTTAAGCAGTTGGGCAGGTATTAGTCTAATCACAAGTTGCAGCAAATTGACACTTTATTAGTGAGGAAGAGGCTCAAATGTTTAGACTACGAGGAAGAGCAAATTGTATTGAAAACTGCTAGGCACAGCTCTCTGGCTACAAGCTGGTTTCCGGCCCCCCCATTCCTGTTGATGGCCGTAATTCTGATACCAGTGGCAAAAAAGCTCTAGTTACCAGCTTACCAGTGCTTGATTCTCTGGCTAGTTGAGAAATTTACCTGCATATATTAAAAATAGATTTAAAAAATCAGAATAAGATAGAATCTTTTTTCTTTTTTTAAATATATTTTATTGATTTTCTACAGAGAGGAAGGGAGAGAGACAGAGAGTTAGAAACATCGATGGGAGAGAAACATCGATCAGCTGCCTCCTGCACACCTCCCACTGGGGATGTGCCCGCAACCCAGGTACATGCCCTTGACCGGAATCGAACCTGGGACCCTTCAGTCCGCAGGCCGATGCTCCATCCACTGAGCCAAACCGGTTTTGGCAAGATAGAATCTTTTAAAAAATATATATTTCATTGATTGTTTTTACAGAGAGGAAGGGAGAGGGATAGAGAATTAGAAACATCGATGAGAGAGAAACATCGATCAGCTGCCTCCTGCACACCCCCCACCGGGGATGTGCCCGCAACCAAGGTACATGCCCTTGACCGGAATCAAACCTGGGACCCTTTAGTCCCACAGGCCGACGCTCTATCTGCTGAGCCAAACCAGCTAGGGCAAGATAGAATCTCTTAAAGAACTATTTAAACTTTCCTTTGGAAGTATGATCGTTGAAACTCAACTTTTAATGTTGGTGCCCCCTACTCCCAGGTTCACAGAACTTAATTAACAGGAAGATTTTTGTAACCCTCTAACCACCCTTGGCCTTCTCTACGCTGTTCTTTACTCCCTTCTTGTCTTTCCTTCCCTCTCTCTCTCTTAAGAAGGGAGTTCCTTTTGAGGCTTTTGCTTGGGCTGCAGACTTAAGCATTCAGAGGAAAACATGGATTTGACTCTGAGGTTTACAGGTTCACTCCATTCCATTAGGATGCTGAAACTTTGGGGATTAAGTGTGGGGGCATCCAGAAATCATATCTTAAAGGGTATTGTTTGATGTTGTGAAGTTTGGATTTGCCTTTTCTTAATGGCAGTAGAGAACTATTGAATGCTTTTGCTAAACTGAGTAAGTTACTTTTGTACCTCCATGCTTCTTTAAAACGGATTTAATTCATCAGTCTCACACTTTTTTGTTTTCTGGCAATTTTTTAAAAACCAAATCAGTGTCACAATGAACTGCATCTGAATCATTTACTTTAGCTTTTGTGTTTACATATCTATCTAGTTTATAGCACATATTATTTATGGGCCTGGGCTACCTTTTTGTTAAATAAAACATCGACCTGTTTGTATTTTTTAACCCAAAAGGTTGAATTTATTTTTGTAGTAATAGTGGTGTTGATTTCCATTGCAAACACAGATGTTCCCTTAACACACATTAAGACTGCATCACATGCCAAAAAAAAAAGGAACTCTTGCCTTTTGCAACAGCATGGATGGAACTGGAGAGCATTATACTTAGTGAAATAAGCCAGTCAGAGAAAGATAAATACCACATGATCTCACTCATTTATGGATTATAGAGAACAACATAGACTGATGAAAAGGGACAGACCCAAAGACTGAGAAACAGCGATCAGGCTATCAATCCCCAGAAGGAAAGTAGGGGAGGGCGGGGGTAAGGGGAAGAGATCAACCACTCGTATGCATGCATATAAGCCAAACCAATGGACATGGACAACAGGGGGATGGAAGCATGAGTGTGTGTGTGGGGGGAGGTTGGGGGTTAATGGAGGGGATGAGGACACATTTGTAATACCTTAACTAATAATAATAATAAAAAAGACTGCATCACACGCTATAGTATTACAAAAAGGAAGGTGAACTGTTTTCAAAGGCAATAAATAGCTTTAACAACAAAGCATGTAAACACCTCATGAAACAAAAAAATCTCTAGTCATATGAATGACTATATTTATTATAAATATTTATTTATTTATTTTAACAGGATCCTGAATATTTTAACAGGATCAACCTTTAAGGCAGATTTCTTTAAGGCTATTTCATTTTTAGATGGTTACCAGAATTTAAGTCCTGTTTGTAAAACTGAAGTGAGAAAGGCTACTTCAGCCAGATTTGAATCTGTGCTTCATTGGAAAAAGGCCAGGAAAAACAATTCCCCAAATCAGTGGAGCGTCACAGTATTATTGCTCCATCACCTTGGTGACAGGATAGCTTGAGGGGGCCGGAGGTGGTGATATGAGTAAAACAGCTCTTCCGCTGAGTCAATGTGTGTACATATATATTCACACAGCTGGTTTCATCTCAGTGAGGCAGCTACTGATGTGAGGAAAGTTAAGTAGAGAATTTCCTAGAAGCAGCAGTGGCCTTCTTACCTAAACACAGTGGCTATTTTTCTACTTTGTCAGGCAAGTAAGAAGTTGCTATAGAATATTGTGTTTGAAGAGAGACTCTTGACAGCGAGTTATGCCCACATCTGAGGTGCAGAGGCAGCCGCTTGCAGTGACTGGCTACAGCCTGGAACCTTGCTGTCCCCTCCCCTGGTACCACCACTCTCCTTCCGAGTGAGGCTGAGCTGTTGGCTCAGCTCATTGGAGGGCGTTCTCCAAGTGTATGCACAGGAGGTAGCAGTATCCTTGGGTCCTGACTGACTGGCCGAATTGACCTGGCTCTCTCACCAGGTAAAAGCACCACCAGTAGAGTAGGCTGCCCTGCATACCTACAGACTTGGTCCCTGTGAGCCTTGGGGGTGGCGGGTGGTGGTAGTGGTATAAACTGTGTGGAAGAGGTATTTCTTCAACTTTAATCTGGGGGCCAACTGTATCTGGGGTTCTTGTTACAAATGCAGGCTCCCAGTTCCGTACCTATTTGCTGTGATTCAGAATGTCTGGTATAGTAATTCTGAGGCCCAATAAAGTTTGGGAACTACTGACTTAGAATACCCTCACATGATATACCTATTATAAAAGGGTTCCTCTTACTGCAGGGACTTTCAATTACTCCTTGTCCCCTTATCTTACAAATTTATTTATTCAACAAACATTTATCAACTGCCTGTTGTGTGTCATATTGAGCAGTGCAGTAAAGTTATAACATGACCAAGATTGACATGGTTTTTATCCTCATGAAATGGAGGGGAAACAAGTAAACAAATTAATAGTTATGATTAGAGTTATGAAGACCACAACAGGATATTATAACAGACTATAAAATGGAAGGAGGAGCAGTGAGTATTTAAAATAAAAAGACAGAGAAGGTCCTCTTTGAGGAGACAGCAGTTACATTAAGACTTAGATTTGAAGGAACGAGACATATGAGGAGCATGTGAGGCAGTATAAAAAAATGTGCAAAGGCACTGAAACATGACCAACCTTGATCCTCATTAAAGAAAAAGCAAGGCCAAAATAATTGGTGCCCAGTGAGCCAGGAAGGCACCTAGATCATCTAGGCTCTTGATCAAGAGGAGACAGATTGAGAGGTGTGGGGAATCAGATGTGTACTTGGAAATAAGAGTTTGGAGTTGAGAGGAAAGGCCTAGTTTAGAACATGACTGTGAGAGTCATCAGCATTTCAATAGAGAGCCCCCTGAATGGGTAATCTAATCTAGGAAGAGGTTTTGGAGAGAGGGTAGATAAGGGCCTGGTAAAGAAAACTAGGAATAGCCAGGACGTGGGAGAGGTGGGAAGAAAGGAGGAAAACCAGGAGACTATAGGTTGTGGAAGCCACTAGAGGAGAATGCTCAAAGAGAGCTAGTCAAATGTGTCATTTCTGTTAAAGGTCTAGGACAGCGCTGTATAGGAGCCACCAGCTGCATGTGGCTATTGAGCACTTGAAATGTGACTAGTGCAAGTTGAAATGTACTATAAGATGCACATCATGTACAGCTCAGACCAATACAATGGTATTTGTCAATTCTATTTCAATTAAAGAAATACACACCAGATTCAAAGCCCGAGTACAAAAACAAGAATGAAAAATATTTCATTACTATTTTTTTTAAAGTAGTGATTACATGTTGAAATGACAATATTTGGGATATACTGGGTTAAATAAAATACACTGTTAAAATTTTACTTGCTTTTCATTTTTTAAAAATATGGCTACTAGAAAATCTAAAATTGCACCTGTGGTTTGCGCCCTATTTCTGTTGCAGAGTTTGGCAATGTGGAAGTCATTTGCAAACTTGGTGAGAGTAGGCTGCCTGAGACTAAGTAGTTCCAAGCAAACTGTTTATACTGCTTAGAGGAGACTGAGTCAGTATCGCAATGCTAGTAAACAAATGAATAATTATGAGAAAAGCTATTAAGGGCCACAACAGGATATGTCTAAATTAAGTAATGAAACTCACCGCTAAAAGTTCTTCTAGAATTTTGGAGATGTATGTAAATGATTTAAATGATTTCACATAAATTGACAATATAATATGCAAGTATTTAAGTTAAATCCTTTGAAATCAACTCTGAAATGTGGTTTTTCAGTCTTTTTTAACCTGTGTTTTCTTTCCTTTTTTTTTCTTTCTTTTTATTTAAAATTTATTTTATTTTTATTTATTTATTTATTTTGAATATTTGGCCAGGAAACTTCATGGTGTTATGGTCAACTTGCCGCACAACCGTGTTCAAATCTGTCACCAACAGGTTCATTAAAAACCTGGCCTGCTCGGGGATTTGTGCCAGCCTGGTCTGTGTGCCCTTCGACATCGTCCTCAGCAGCAGTCCTCACTGTTGCTGGTGGATCTACACCATGCTCTTCTGCAAGATCGTCAAATTTTTGCATAAAGTCTTCTGCTCTGTGACTATCCTCAGCTTTCCTGCCATTGCCTTGGACAGGTAAGGTCAGGTAGCCAAATGCCCAGTTTTGAAAGTATATTGAAATATTAGCATCACGAAGCAAATGCGAAATAGTCATTATTCCACTATTTTAGTTTGTGATCAACAGAAAGAGAATGAATTGCCAGAACAGATACCACACACAAGACAGGTGGACTTAACAGCAGCTGTGGAAAATAGGACCATTGAAAAAAGATATGACATTGGGAGTCACATCATGATGCTGGGGCAGAGCTACTGGAACCTGGAGTAGCGCTTCAAGTTGGTTGGAATTGGTGGTATTTGTGTTGCAATTTGCAGTAGATAGGCTCATCTGATTGATAACTCCACAATTAGGGCTTTTGATGTAGGACAAAAGCATTTCTGGAAGAACAACAGAACAATTCAGTGTTATTTAACAAAAAATTAGATAGTCCAGTTGGACCGGGTCAGATAATACCAGAATTCCTTTGGAGGATTTATTTCCAAGGCCTTCTATTGTGATGATTGTTGTTTTCTCTTCTCATCCTCTTTAGGAGGTTGTTCATTTGGAAATGAATCTTACATTTTAACTACTACATACATAATTTGATCAAATTTATCAGAGTTTAAAGATCTTAGTAATCAACAGCCTCCTGTCTTTTCTCTTTGTTGCTGGTATATCATGAAGACAGTTGAGATAATAATGCAGCGAATAGAATTAAATAAGAAAACAAGAATTGTAAAGTATTTTGTGCCCATGTGTACTTTTGATTTCAAGATTTGCAGAAAGGAAAAGTTGCTGAAGGGATAAGGTTGGCTGGCTCTTCTGACTTTATACCCTATGATAAATTTAACTACATTATAGATGAATTTGGAATTTCTAAATGCTTTGTTCATTCAAAACATACTTAATATCTTAATAATCTTTGAGAATATAGATTGCAGAACCCATATGTGGAGTCGCTTTTGGCCTCTCAGGCCTGGAACCTTGATTTCATTAGCTGCCCAATATCATCTGCATGGAGGGACAGAGTCATTTCTGGGCCTTTGACCTTAGAGAGGAAAATATGCTAACAATAAAATATCCTCGTTTTCTTTCCATCAGACAATCTACTGTGTACTTGCCATTATTTTTTAAAAGGTAAACAAGTCCCTTTAGTAGAAAATTAAGACTGTTAGTATCCTATTTTATTATTCAGAGATACAAATTACCTGTAAGCTTAAGTATGGTGTGCATGAAGGTGAAGAGAAAAATGATCCTTTCTCTCACTTCTTTCACGGATATTTGTTTCATGGCGCTGAATCAGCAAGTTAATTGGGAGGCCACCTACACTTCCTGCATTATTTTCTAGAGGTGTATATACTGACAGAATTACTCGTAATGAGCCTGTGTTGCAGCCTATTTCCCAATACATAATGGAAGCAAAAATGCCTGAAAGCCTGGGTTCCTTATCTGCCAGTTAGCAAATAAGAATCAGAGCCGGGGACTCCTGAGCATATTTTTATGCGTGGGTAGAAACCTTTATCTGTACTCGGAGAAATACGATGGAGAGCATGCATAACTTATGTGTTTTTCTGCCTTTCCCCCCCTCCCAGAAAGATATCTAGAACACATCTCATTGTGCTCCATACATCTCTGATCATCTGTGGTCATGTTGTGCTTGCATCGTATCTCCCTGAGCTGGAGCATTCTTGACATTTTCCCAGGTGCTCCCTTTCCCATACTTCCGTTGTGCACACCTCTAGTAGAGCCATCACCTCCTCATTTATAATTGTTTGCATGCTCTCCCCCCTCCACCCCACCCACCGCATTAACTTTAGAAACACCCCTGTATAGCTTTCCTTCTTTTTGTAACGCAGTGCCTAAACATAGGTGGCGCTCAGAAACTCTTGTGACAGGAAAGCATTCGTGTTTAGTTGGCCTCACGAATGAATGAATGTTAATAGGGTTGTAAGGCTGACTCCAGCATTAGCTGACTGCAGTGCTGTGGGCAGAGCTAATCTCTGACAATCACCACAATTCTGATGGCTAGTGGAAACCCTTTCCTGACAGATGTGGCTCTAGGGTCTGTAGAACTACTCAGTTCTACCAAATCATTGCTGATATGGAAGCAGGGTGCTTCCTGAATTCTGATTAGGTGGTTATGGAATAATCAAGTTAGGCTTGAAGGAAGAAAGTTTTAACATGCAGGCATTTTAGACCTCTTATTTGCTCTTAGAGTTACTAAGTGATTATCATGGGGAGAATAGCTATTGAGCAGGCATAATTTTTGTGAGTTGATTTTGTGGAAGGACTTGGCCAGAGTCCATCCTTAATATTGGGTCCTGCCCTGAGCAGCTGTAAGGTTAATATATTAATTTTTTACAAATTAGTCTTACACTGAAAAATAGATGTCTTTATGGCAGATGGAGGCATCCTTTATATTGAGCACTCTTTGGAATTTAATCTTGGTGGCAATAATTATAAAGCTAGTTATGAATTGTACAGCAGAGTCCTCAAAATTTAAGGTCTAGCTGCCTAACTTTCCCAGTGGTTCCCTCTTTCTTAGACAGAATGAAAGAACTTGACCCTTTTTTCCATCTCTCCTACTTTTGGTAATAGAGAGTCCCCTAATTTAAAGCATATCTTCTCCTGTGAAATGAATTTTATGTGTGCATTTTGCAGGTACTACTCAGTTCTATATCCTCTGGAGAGAAAAATATCTGATGCCAAGTCCCGGGAACTGGTGATGTACATCTGGGCCCATGCAGTGGTGGCCAGCATTCCAGTGTTTGCAGTGACCAATGTGGCCGACATCTACGCCATGTCCACCTGCACCGAAGTTTGGAGCAACTCCTTGGGCCACCTGGTATACGTTCTGGTCTATAACATCACCACGGTCATTGTGCCTGTGGCTATGGTCTTCCTCTTCTTGATACTGATTCGACGGGCCCTGAGTGCCAGCCAGAAGAAGAAGGTCATCATAGCAGCACTCCGGACTCCACAGAACACCATCTCTATCCCCTACGCCTCCCAGCGGGAGGCCGAGCTGCACGCCACCCTGCTTTCAATGGTGATGGTCTTCATCTTGTGTAGCGTGCCGTATGCTACCCTGGTTGTCTACCAGACTGTGCTCAACATCCCTGACACTTCTGTCTTCTTGCTGCTCACTGCCATCTGGCTGCCTAAAGTCTCTCTGCTAGCAAACCCTGTGCTCTTTCTTACTGTGAACAAATCTGTCCGCAAGTGCTTGGTAGGGACCTTAGTACAGCTACACCACCGGTACAGTCGCCGTAACGTGGTGAGCACAGGGAGCGGGCTGGCCGACGTCAGCCTGGAGCCCAGTGTGCGCTCAGGAAGCCAGCTGCTGGAGATGTTCCACATTGGGCAGCAGCAGATCTTTAAGTCCACGGAGGATGAGGAGGAGAGCGAAGCCAAGTATGCTGGCTCTGCTGATCTCCAGGCCAAGGAGATACTTAGCACCTGCCTGGAGGGAGAGCAGGGGCCACAGTCTGCGCCCCCTGTGCCACCTCTGGGCACAGTGGACTCTCTATCCCAGGTGGCTTCAGCAGCCCCTGTGGAACCTGAGATATTCCCTGGCAAGTATTCCCTTCAATTTGGTTTTGGTCCTTTTGAGTTGCCTCCCCAGTGGCTCTCAGAGACCCGGAACAGCAAAAAGCGGCTGCTGCCCCCCTTGGGTAACACCCCAGAAGAGCTGATCCAGACAAAGATGCCAAAGGTAGGCAGGGTGGAGTGGAAGATGAGTAGAAACAATAAAGTGAGCATCTTTCCAAAGGTGGATTCCTAGTAAGGATTGAAAACCCCTGGGAGCAGCAGGGAGCTCCCCTACTCTGGCCTGCCCTTCGCTCTGGCCCTGTGATTTGTACGATCTCATTGCAACCAGAATGGGTTGACTTTTCCTGGCTGGGCCAGATGCTTTTGAATGAGAGGGAAATCTATTTGAAGTCAATGTCTTTTTATTGAGAGAGTATATATATACTTATCTCAGTGATTCATGTCCTTAGTAAGTCCATTTTCCTCTTTGTGGAGACAAAAGTTGGGCATTGTGGACTAGGTCTTGGGGTGGGTACCCCATGTGTGTTTTCTGGGGACCCTCAGTTCTCGTAGTCCAGCAGAGAATACACAGAGAGAAAAGGCATCCCTGAGCTCAAAGGAGCAGGGCCACTCCAAGGGAAGCCCAAGATAACTATGGAGTGGTGTGGACACAAAGAAAATGCCTATTTGATGGACTTAAGTATGTCAAATATATTTAAAATTGATCTGTACCTTCAGGGAAGATAGGGACTTGACATTTGACACCTTTTCTTTAGAAGGCCCGATCATAGGTCTCGCAGTTCCTCCCAATGCCCGTCATCCTTTTCACTGGGATGTGGATAAGGAACGGCCCTTCTGCCCACATTTGACAGACATGGCAGTAGACGTGCCTGGTGGTGAGATGATCTATCGTTGGTTTTCCTGACATTCCCAGGCATCACTATGGCCTCAGAAAGACATGTCTGCAGGTTTGGTTAGAAAACACTGCAAGCTCTTTACTATGTATTCCCTCCCTTATGTTATTTTATTTATTTATTTATTTTCAACAAATGAGAGAGAAGCTGCGAGGTAGAGAAGAAAGACACTGTAGTCTTGTCCACACACTGTAGTCTTTTCTGTTCCCACTTGATCTTGCCTGAAAGGTGCTACATAGCAGTCATTAGAAGTAACGTATATTGAAAAAAATGATCTCATGCAAACTTTTGTAATTCAGAGGTGATTTTAAAATGCAAAGCTAGTGTATACTGGGTCCCCTGGAAACATCAAGCTAAACTGCTTGATTAGGAAAGGTGGTTCTGCCCAAAAGGGTGGGAGAGGCTGACAAGAATGGTCCCCTTCTGAGGAGGGCTCCAGACACCGGCTGGCCAATCTCATTTTCAGTCCGTTTATGCAATTGTGATTTCTCCCTTCATTTTGGACACAAAGGAGGAACAGAACAGGGAAAAAGAATTAATCGTAAAATGCCATGGCAACATCTAGTAGCCCAGGTGAGCTCTCCAATTCCTCTTTCCCAGAGTGGATAGAAGAGGGAAGACAGTGTCCTCATGACTAGACCCTGGGGGCGCTCCCAGGCCATTCAAGGCCTCTCATGCAGTTCACCAGGCTGAATGCAAACTGCAGAGGACACCTCACTCCTCCGGAGTGCAAACTGGGTGCCGGCCGCTCTCTCTCGGGCATTGTTTTTGTTAATAGTATGCAAGGGAGCCCATCCAGTGCCTTGAGAAAGGAAAGTGGGCCTGCTCACCGCATCCCCGAAGCCATCCTCTCCTTAAGCCACACTGGTCCTTGTCCCTTGGAGGCAGCCCAAGACTGTGTAAGGAGTCGCCTTTTCCTCTCCTCTCCCGAGTGTGATGTCTTATAATTCCTGACTGTGACCCTGACCCTTCCTCTGTGTGTTTTGTCTCCTCCAAGTGTTGTGTTCTCCGGGACTGCCACTCCCTCCCCAGGGCCGCCGCCTCCGGACCCTGTGTGCATGCCATCTGCAGCTCCTTGCCCTGATAGTTAATACGTGGCCCTTCAAGCTTATCTTTCAAAACCTGCACAATTGCTGCAACTTTCGTCAAGGGGAAACATAATCTGTCAGAAAACTTGTGTCTACTCTAGAAGAATCTGTCAATTGTAGCCACTTTGGTGTCGTTCTGATAATGTGTATGTACAACTGAATAAACTCTGATGAGGCGGAATTTGGAAGGTATTTCTTCTGTATGTTTGAAGCAAATGGTTGACTTCTAACAGGTCATTGTCGGGTGTATTTCTATACATACTCTCTGAAGCATTACGTTTTAATAAAAAATTGAAAAGCAGTTTCTGAACTCAAAAAAGATTGTATGAGCTATGTGTTTTTTGTTTCTTCTTTTCCCTCAAGTGGCAGTTACCATCTGAACCGCGGGCTTCCTACATGACCTCAGAGGAAAAGTATTTGTTTCCCCCATACATACAGACGGCAGCATTGCAGTAGCATATTGTTGCAAATTTAAAAATGAATTCCCAAAGGAGAAAGTGCAACGAATGTCACGAACATGTCTCCATATTGAATTGGTGGAAAGACTGCTCCCTCTCCAGAGGAGACTGGGGTACAGCCTTCCTCCTCCCTTACGTGTGAGGCTGATCGCACATGGCCAGGCCCCTGGGCTTCGGGGCCAGTTCGCCCATGTTTGAGGCCTGGCTCTACCACTGACCGGCCTACTGACCTGAGTAGGTGAGGTAACCACGGTGTGCCTTGGTTTTCTCTCTGTAAAATAGGGAGATAGTCACTGTGTCAGAGTCCTTTGGCCTAGCTCGCATACTTCACCTCTGATTTGAGCCCCATCTTCAGTGGGCCACTGCTGGCTGCATCCACTCCCTTCCCGCAGAGCAGTCATGGCCTTGCTTTGCTTTCTGCCCTGTGAGAACTCCCTTGCTCCTGGGTGACCCCTGATCAGTGTGCCATGGGAACCAGTGGATAAATGTCCCTGTCCGGTCCTGCTGGACAGTTGTGAGAGGCATTTGTCCATATCGCAGGCAGTCAGGCAGAATTAAGCCCCTGCTGCCCACAATGGTGTCTCAGTAATGAATTCTTACTGACTTCCTCTTCCTTTCCTGTTTGGGTTTCTTTCGGCCTCATTCATGCCCTCAGGGATCACCTCCCCAAAACAGTACCACATAAAGCCTTTGTCTCAAGCTCTGTTTTCAGGGGAATCCAAGTGAGACAAGAATATACCTCATGGGGCAGTTGAGAGGATTAAATGGGATGATCTGTGTTAACATGATGCCTGGCACAAAGTAAAGATCTATCAATATGAGTGCTTATCTACTATGTTTTTTTTTTTTTTAAAAAAAGTGGTTAGGGGGCTTAATTGGAATGGTTTCCAGAAAATTACACTAAGCCAGTTACTCCAATATTAATATTCATAATAATTGAGGCAGTACACAATGCCAAAGGACTATTTGAATCCCTGAAGAAAAAATACCTATGTAAGCTAGACTATTTCTTAACCAAATAATTCTCAGTTTCAAAAAAGAGGGAGAGGGGGATGATAATAGAATCTTCAACTTCATTGTAAACCTATAAGGCAGGTTGTGAATATGAGCGAGCACAGTTTTCTATATTGGTGAAATAGGCAAGTGGAGTAACTAAGGGCAGACGTACAAATCAGAGTGGACCCCTCCATGGAAAAGGAACCATAAGTTAACCACTTGGTGTGCTGAATAACATCTGCAGCTCAGGCACAAGTTTGACTTGACTGGACAGCGGAACGGCTGCCCCATCTCAGCTCTGGGAGTTCGGAGCTCTTGGCAGCCCCTCCCCGGAGTGAGTTGGCTCAGTGTGCACACGGCAGCTGCTGCTGTGTGAAATGAGAAAGCATGTAAACCAGAATTTCTACTGGTCGTCTTATGTGTAAAACATGGTGGTCATTAGATTTTTCTGATGTCCTGGAATTGTGGCTGAAATCCCACGGCTGAGGACAAGAAGTGTTTAAAATTCTCACATATACTAGTATATGATTAAGAAGCAGAATGTGCTCTGCTGCGCACGCCCCCCCTCTCCCCCCTGCCCAAACTGTCCCCCATACACACCCAGTTGAGGGAATGATTGTGCAAGAGAATAATATCCTCATCTACCATGACAGGTTGCGATCAAATTATATCCCAAATGGATAATACACAAAAGAGTAGACTATGCATATTAAGTAGAATGTGGAGATGTGTGAATGCCAAAAGAGACAGCTAAAATGAGTGCAGGTCTTTGTCTCTGGGACTGTTTTTGTTTATTTTATGTAAGCCCCTTTGTTCTATTTTAAAACAATTTACATTATAGAAAAAAATAAAAATTAACTTTAAAAAGCTTCTGAATTTTGCAATGGGCCATCAGGCTAAACCAAAGAAAAAAAAACAAGAAACATGCATATCTAAAGGAAATTGAGAAAAGGCAATTTAGGCATTCAGGGTCGGAGTAACCAATGGCTCTTTGCTGATATACTCAAATGATGTCAGTTTATTCAGCTAATTCGCTTGGTTTGGCTGTATGAACTAGGGACTTTAGGCTGTTCTGAATTCTAGCTTTTCCTCCATAGCCTCTCAAAAACTAAGAAGTATTTCTTTTTTAAAGCACTTTTAAGAATTATTACTACTTTTTATAAGTTTAATGTAAATAATGCTAGTTTGCTTCAGAAATTCTTAGAATTCATATAATATTTTAGATAAATATGTATAAAACATTGCGTTTAATGAATTAAAATATCCTGAACTTGGTTTTTTTTGTTTATTATTTATGTTCCCATCTACTTAAACAATATCTAAAGTGACTGCAAAAAAAAGGTAAATGCAATGTAAGTACCTTTGCATTAACGACTTCAAACCATTAGAATATTACTTAGAATATCTTAATTTATAATACTCTCTGTCTTAAAGTTTCTTCCCTTGGTAGCATTTGGCTTCTCACTGCCTGCTTTGTATTTATATATGATGTATCACTGGAGGATATTAAAGCACAGCCCACAGACTTTCTGTAGGAAATGATATGATCTCCGTTTTGCAGATGGGGAAACTAGAAGCACAGATGGCCACACCATTAGCCCTAAGAGAGGAAGCACGTTGGAGACAGTGCTAAAAACAGTACAGAAGGCCTTAAAGCCCGATTCTTCCACTGCGTCCTCTGAAGTACTGACGATCATTATCATCTATCGTTATTATGACTATTTTTGAATACCCACTTGGCACATATTATTAAACTGTACTGGGGAATGGATTAAAATCTTTAATGCCTGGCAGCTGTTTTTCTCGATGTTATTTCCCAAATTTTCTTCTGCTTCATAATTTCCCTTTTTTTTTTTTTTTGTAGAGGCAGTTCAGAATAAATGTTTAAAAAATGCTTAATGGAATGCCAAGATTGAGATAGCTGGGCTGAGAGTACTCACAGGCATCATCTCCTGCCTCGTGTTCTGCTGCTTAATTCTGCACTGAGTTTACCCTTAGTTTAATTTAAGAGTCATTGCCATCAAATCACTTTCCTCAATTGCCCATGCTTTCTTAGGGTCTCTTGGTACCCTTCCCTGCAAATATATGAACCAATAACACGATTCATTCATTCATAACAGTAAATATTATTGCATTTGATACACACTATTATAGTGGAGTATGAATAGTCCATCGTATGGACAACTGAGGGGAGAAAAAAGAAACCTCACAGAGACAGAGAGCAGAAAGACCAACGGCTGACGCGAAGTGCTGAGGGAAAGTGGAAGTGTGTGTCTTCTTCAGTGATTCTGATAGATGGCTGTTTTTTTCTTTAAGTCCAGGAAATTTCTTCCTCCATAAAACATCAATTTACTTCATATAGTTATAGCACTTGGAATTTGGGAATTTTTTGCCTAGTCATATACCACCTCTGCAATTTAATATGAAGAAGTTGAGGTCCAGGAGGAGTTGAAGTGATTTTTCCCCCCCCAAGACCTTGGACCAGAATGTATAGTTTTAAAAAAATGCCTAATCCATAAAGAAGATGCGAGGAGCAGAAACCAGTGCTTTTAAATGTCCTTTTTCATGATTAAATTTAAATAATTCAGTAGATAGTAGATGGGAAGATAAAAAAATATTTCCCTAAGGCCTTCAATCTTCTTCCCGCTAGTTATTGTGACTAGACTATTACATAGCTAGCTATTATATAGTTAGCACTCAGAAATTCCCCATACTCCTGACATTTTCAATCTAAAATGAGTGGAGGTAAAACACTGGAGGGATTCATGTGACCATCTAGTTTCTGCCCCTGTCAAGATCTCTGAGCAACTAGGCGTGGTTAGAGAAAGAATGAAAAGCTCACTTGTCCAGAAACAACTTACTAAAGGATTTGACTCGGGTACATAGCCAATAAAAGGTAGACAAATGAATGCAAGTTTGCCTCCTGAAAAGTAAATTCCCCAAATTTTGGCCAAGGTAATGATCTCTAGATTCGTGACAAAAAATAGTTGGCAATTTCACAAAAATACAGTCATCTTAGCAAAACATAAACGACATTTAATAGATGACAGATGTGACTTGAGCCTGATAATTCACTTTTTTTTCACTTAAAGCTGTTTTATTTGAAATGAAAGTCCTTGTTTTATTGAACAGTGCAGTGAAACATTCAATATGGAATCTCAAGAACATTTTGATTTCTCTACAAAGTAAGAAGAGTGTTTGGGAGTAGCCGTCCCATTATGTAACAAGCGGGCTGGTAAATGGAGAGGCTTGTCCTAGAATCGACAACAGATGGGGATACACACCCAAATCTCATAAAACCTAAGCCAATTTTCAGTTCATTCTATTGCATCATGCTATAAAAAATAGGGCACACCTATTGTGTTTTTGCTTTGTTTAATTATTTGTAGATTGCAGAGGACAAGACAGATGGCTGTTACCATTACCCAGATGTTTCTAAACAGGCAATTCTTGCAGCCCAGCCCTTCGAACAGGTGCTTTTATGCGGGTATGAATATTGTTGTAGTTCAGTCTGGGGCACATGAGCAGGTTGTTTCCTAAGAAAGCCCTGCCTGCTTAACTCAGATGGTCACAGAGCCTCAGAGCTGAAAGCAGGCATGGAAACCTTTAGCCAGCCCCTTATTTTACTAGACAAAGAAACAGGCTGAGTGAGAAAGGTTAAGACACCAGGCCAGGCCAGCTCTTAGCAGAGTCCAGATGAGAAACCAGGAATGCATTTAAACTTAATAAATCATTTAAAGTGGTTTTGTGTGTCAATGTATGAGTTACATAACGAATTTTGAGCCAAATTAGAATATTAATTTTAGTTTGTCTGTTAGGATAAAATGAAGGGAAAAATCAGTCTGCCTCTGTTAAATAAGTTTGG